AAAAAAAAAAGTTCATGGAAAAATGGAATTAAGGTACAAGTTTACTTTGATGTAACAATTTTTGGAAATCCATGCATAGCTGTTTGGTTTTTTTCCTTTTTTGGAGAGGTTTTTGCTATAGGGCATGCTGCTCGCCAGAAAGACAGAGAGAGACAGAGAGACAGAAAGTGAGAAATCACCCCCAGGGAGGATGGCCTCATCGTAATCCCTTCTCCTCCATTCTCCTCTCAGGATCTTGGGCGCGCGCGCGCGCACGCGCACACACACACACACACACACACACACACCTGGCATGAGTTTAAGTCACTGGGTCTGGGACTTGAACTGTGGTCAACTACATGGGAGTCCAGCGACATAGCCATTATGCCAACTGCTGGTCCCCATGCATAATTTATTACGCATTTTCATGAACTTTTAGAAGACCTCTCATATATTACCTGCTTGTTTAGGGTGGGACAGTTCTTCAGAAACATTACTTCTGTGTATACTTCTATCCTGTTCTCTTCCATTTAGAGATGAGAAATGGAGCTCTTCAGAGATTAAGAACTTTTCACAATGAGGCCAGCAGGTGGCGGGGCGGTTGGGGTGTCGGACTCCCCATGGCCTACTGCAGTACAAGTCCTGGATCTGGTCCTTGTTTTCTCACTTTCCCCCTCTGTCTCTTTCTGGTGAACCCATGTGCCCTACAGCAATTTGAAAAGAAATAATAAATAAAATAAAAAACAAATAACTTGTCACGCAAACATAGGGGTCAGGAGTGGCAAGGCCATATTCAAATTCACACACGCACTTTTTAAAAAAAGAATTACTTATTAAACTTTGTTTATTTATTTATTTTAACTTGACCAGAGAGGGACAGAGTGAGCGAGAGAGAAAGTGAGAAAGCAAGCCACGGGTCTGGGACTCGAACCGCAGTCGGCCCTGTGGGAGTCCAGCGCCCTTAACCACCACGCCACCTGCTGGCCTACACACACACTTTTTAAATATTTGGGGGGCCAGCAGGAGGCGTGGTGGTTAAGGCGCTGGACTCCCACATAGCTGACCACAGTTCAAGTCTTGAACCTGGAGGTTTGCTCTCTCTCTCTCTGGTGAGTGCACGTGCCCTATAACAAATGAATAATAATATTAAATAAAATTAAATTCTTTTTTTTTTTTTTTTTTTTTGCCAGAGGACGTGTGTGCTCATTGGAGCCAGAGAAAGGGAAGGTGAGAAACCCCCCGTGGGTAATGGTCACGCACCAATCCCTTCCCTTCCTTCTCTCCTCCTCTGGGGTCTTGGTCACCCACAGACACCTTGTGCTGGGTCCAAGGCTGACACCCGGCAGCTATGGGGGACCCAGCTGTCCTAAGCACCATACCGTGGGCTGGCCCGGGGCCTGAGGCAGTATTCCTGATGAGCCTGAAGTGAAACTCCAATGTACTAGCCAAATGAGATTCTGGGGCTAGGGACGAAGAAATCAACGTCTCCTTTCGGACCCCTTTCCCTCTCCGGTTTTGGCCATAGGACACCCCCAAGGGGGGGGGCATGGTCACGCTGCAATCCCTCCTCCGCTTCTCTATCCTGGGAGGGCTTGGGCCCATGTGCACATGCACCCAGTGTGCTTGAGCCACTGGGGCCAGGAGTCAAACCACGCAGATGGCCACCTGGGATCCGACTCCTTGAGCACTAAGCTACAGCCTGCCCTCTGGCATGATTCTTTTTTCAAACGTGCCAAGCATGAGTCTCAAGTCATGAGGTGACTTGAACTGTGGTCGGCCACGGGGGCTCCAGTGACGCAACCGCTATGCCATATGCTGGCCCTACCCTGATTCTCAAGAAAACCAAGTGACAACCTATTTTGGATCAAGACTCCAGTGCAGAAGGTGAAGTGTCCGTGTAAATGGTCATGCACGACTCGCAGGGCAGATGGACTTGGGCGATGATGGACTTGCTATTTACTGGGCTGAGGCTTTTCAAAGCGCAGGAAAACCTCCACACGCTTCATTAGGAGGAGGCAGATTACCCTTATATAGAGACGATCAACAATGGAAAACCCAGAATAAAGGCAAAGACAAAAAGAAAAATCAAACATTTTTTTTTTTTTTTAAAAAAAAGCACAACCCCCCTACATACTAAAATTATACACATCAAGTATTGGTCCAATCTTACATCAATCTATTTACAATTAAACAGCACCATAGTTTCTTACCTAGGTTAGTTAAACATGCCCAGAGAATTGTTAAAGTATATGTTCATTTAAAATGAAATAAATTCTCAAAGAGAGCTCCAATCCTTATGAGACCTTACCAATCACAGACTCATGATATCACCAAACTGCTTTAGGAAAAATTAAGTTTACTTTTGGCTTCCAGTTGACAGCATTTTGAAAGATTCTGCCATTCAATGTGGCACACGACTTTTGGTGCCAGGGCGGTATGCTGGCATGCTCAGACCACCCGAGTATCCTCGCGGTCCTCTGGGGTCAAGGCTGCCACTCAGTCCTCGCCGTACCTGGAGGAGATGCGGCCATATTCTTCAAAATGATTATATAGAAGCAGGGAACTAGTTAAAGCTCTCGTAACGTGGTAAGTTACCATTATATTTCATCATCATACAGGAGACTTAATACCATCTTAAACATTATATCTGAACTAACTAGCAGGGTCGTGTTGTCATTAAGACCAGTCACGGTGCTTCGGCTCCCAGCAGGCGGGAGGTTCGGTATTTGCCACCCGGGAACAGCGCACGCCTTCTCACATAACCCTTGGCAGCGCTCCTAGTCATGGGGTAGAAGAATCAGGTGCGTTCACTGGATTTTTCAGCTTCCTAATGTAATTTGCAGACGGATCTTAATTTGCCTCTTCGCTGGGAAAGATGAGGACAACTGTCATTGCCCACAGCTAGAAGTAACGGACTGGAAAGGAGGAAGGAATGAAGCCTCGCGTCGTCACTGCCCATGTTTTCAGCGATGCCAATAAACCTTTCACACTTGTCAATCTCGAGTTGACATTTTCTCTAAAAGACTGGAGATAGGCAGTTCTCCCAGGCACAGACAGGGCGGGCCGTCCTCGGACCCTTCCTGCAGAGTGGGGGAGGAGAGAGCTGCCTGTCGGCCTGTTGTCGGAGCAGCCGCACTGGACTGTGTCCCCTGGCCCAGAAACTGCATTTGGGGTCACAGCTAGCTACGGACAGTTCAGGCAGAGGGGCGAGATCAATGACAAGATTATGTAGTTGTGACTGCCTAAGCCTGGAGACGGGAACAGCTTTTTACACAGACATTTCAAAACATCTATGCAGCAAGACAGACTTTCTGACTATCAGCTGAGAGCCAGAGACCTGACTGCGTCCACTGAATTATTGCCTAGTGTTCTGGAAGGGTGCCTGCCCCAAGGCGTGGGAAGGCACCGGACTCGGTGAGAGTGTAAAGGAGCTCAGCAAGTGGGGATGCGAAAGCTACGCCGCAGCGCGACCTGCCGGGCTCTGCTCCTTGACAGCAAAGCGTTAGGTGAGCTAAAGAAAACACCAGAAGAGAAGCAAACCGCAATTCTGCTCTTTTCAGTTTCCATTTAAAAAAAAAAAAGCCCAAGTTTTGTAACTGTTATGGATGGTTTCTGCAAATCATATAATTTGGTGTATTTATATATAGATATATATATTTTTAAAAGAATTCTGTATTCAAAAGGTGCTTAATGCTGTTCTTCATGGATACGATGTTCCGTTTACAGTCCGAATCATTTAAATACAGCAATTACATAGTTGTTGAGTGTTTTAAAATAAAGGGTCTATTTCTTAACTGCCTCTCAAATTAGAAATCGCAATGATATGCGTCTCTAAGGCTGGCCCTTTGTGTTTTATTATTTTTGTTGGTCTCCATCACAGATGGAATTTTTCACTGGTAATTCCTCAGAACTACGTCCATTCATCGGGAATTCGGAGCAGTGAAAATAAATTTCACGCCAAGAGTAGGAAATGACAGTGACCACGATAAAAGGAGTGCGGGGTCAGGGCCAGCTGGCAGGACCGGCTCAGTTCTCCACGGGGGTGGGGTCCTGCAGCGGCTGGGGCACGAACACCCGGGCCCCCTA